TTTGTTCGTTGGTGCGTAAGATGTCGGGGAAAGAAGGTGCTTCGGGTGTCGAGGGTGGTGCTTCTGGCGCGAAGACCATTCAGAGTTTGAATATCCACTCTATGAAGATAGATGTGGAGAAATTTAATGGCACAAACAACTTTGGATTATGGAGATGCGAGGTTTTGGATGCGCTGAACGCGTAGAATTTGAAGGATACCTTGGAGGTAGATGGCAAGCCAGATGAGATTGAAGAGAAGGTTTGGAAGAAGATGAATCGAACGGCGTGTGGTGTGATTAGATCTTGTTTGACTCAAGATCTAAAATATTATGTGATGAATGAGACTTCTGCAAAGAAGATTTGGGAGATTCTCGAAAGCAAGTATTTGACCAAGAGTGTGGAAAATCGCTTGCATTTGAAGAGGAGGCTTTATCGTTTCCAATTGAAGAAGGGAACCTCCATTAGAGATCACATGAACCACTACACGAAGCTTCTTGCGGATTTGGCGAACGTGGATGTTATAATTAAAGATGAGGACAAGGCGTTGCTGTTGTTGAGTTCCTTGCCCGACGAGGAATATGAGACATTTGTTCTTACTTTGATCAATGGGAAGGCATCACTTTCGTATAGTGAGGTCACTGCTGCACTTGTGAATTATCAGCTTCGGAAGAAGGATAAGGAGACTTCGACTGAGTCGGTAGCAGAGGCGTTGGCCGCAAGAGGGAAGGGTCCAAACCGAAAGAATTGGAAGTCACAGTCTAGAGTAGGAAAAGATCAGTGTGCTTGGTGCAAGGAGACTGGTCATTGGAAGAAAGACTGCCCAAAGCTCGACGAATGGATGAAGAATAAGCAGAAGGGAAAAGGGAAGCAACCATCATCAGAAGCAAACATCGTATCGGATGGTAATAATTCTGACTCTTCTATTTATTCGCTTTCTATCAGTCCTACAGATAGCTATTCGGAGGAATCTGAATGGATGTTGGATAGTGGTGCGACCTATCATGTGTGCCCTAGAAGGGAATGGTTCTCCAGTTTTGAGAAGCTGGTGGATAGTGGTGTGGTGTACATGGCTGATAACCGTGCATGCCAGATCCTTGGGATAGGAAGAATTCGCATAAAGATGTTTGACGGGACTGTTAGAGAGTTAAACGATGTGAGATATGTTCCTTCTTTGAGGAAGAACTTGATCTCGATTGGAGCTTTGGTTGGAGAGGGTCTGAAGGTTCGTGTTGAGGACATGGTTCTCGAGATTGCGAGAGACTCTCGTATTTTGATGAAGGGCGTCAGGAGAAATAACCTGTATTACTTGACTGGAGGTATAGTGGCAGGTGGAGAGCTGACGACTTCTGTTGATTCGACTAGACTGCGGCATTTGGGGCTTGGCCATTCCAGTATTGATTCCTCGCATAGATTGAAAGAGGGTGCAAAGACCTGCAGTTTGAAGTCCAGTGAACATGTTGATGTGAGCAAGAAGACCGAGGTGAAGTGTGGCACCTCTATTCACCGTGCTAAGGGTCGTTCTGGAGGAGTTCACGTGGATGTTTGGGGGCCTTCCAAGGGGGCATCATTGGGAGGTAATAGGCGTTTGGTTTCCTTTGTTGGTGGCTGTTCTAGGCGTGTTTGGGTTGCAACCAAATCCCCTTTGGAGAAAGTCCTAGTAGTTTCCAACAGATTGAAGAAGTGTGTGACAGACAGAAAGGTGAAGGTACTCCATTCTGGAAGATAGGTCTGGTAGTGTCACTTTGGTTGAGGCTTCGATGAGGGAGCTAATTGACTCTCAGCAGGTGGAGAGTTTTGGACAGACCTTAGAGGTATCGCAGCGGGTGGAGACTGATGCTACTCCACATTGGATGTGGATTTTTCCACATACTCCAGGTCATTCTGCATTGGTTGGGATTCCAGCTGAGGTGACACAACGTGGAAGTCATTTGGATTCGGATGCAGATGATGAGTTGGGTTTTGATTCGAGTGCAGCTGATAGATATAGTTTGGATATGGCCATTGGTTCACCTCAGGTGGAGGTGTTTGAGGTTATTGGAGGTGCTATCAGCCGCAGAATTGATGATATTGGAGAAGGGTTGCGAACTCTTCTATTGGTTTGAGGTCGTTCGCGGTCATTTGGGTGAACTACGTTCGGCTTGATTCCTTGGGCAAGAGGATACGTAGGCAGTCTTTATGATGCAGCCGGGTTTTGGTTTGATGGGGGTGAGATCGATTTGGTGAGTTGATACTAATATTTGGAGAGTGTTTGCATTCTCATTTGGGTTCTCGACTTGTTATGGATTGAGTCTGTTGTCGTGAATTGTTTCACAGTGTACTGGACACAACAAGTGAGACATTTGTTTTGGTTGGTGTCGGCTCAGTTTTGAGAAAACTTTACCGAGGTAGAGAATTGTGAACGTGAAACCGCGTGAGGAGAGTCAGTGGGGGCCACCATGTGATTGAAGCAAAGCAAAGACGCGTTTTTGTTTTTTTTCCTCATTACGGACATTAATGCAAAGGCCCACCCGATTGTTGTGCTGTAGGTATATAAATAGCAATTTATTCGGTGACTTAGGTTTGGTGCAAGGCAGGAGCAAGGTGGATTCCTCTTTTTTTTGGCGGCTTTGTTTCTTGGAGAAAACGCAACAAAGAAAAAGAGAAGAATAGGGATTTGTGTAGCTTTGGTGAGAGTATTTGTGTGAGAGAGAGATAATTGTGTGAGAGTTTAGATTGTGAGATTGTAAACCCTAGTTGTATTCTCTCCCTCTATTAGTAGACCCCCCCCCCCTCCTTGCCCCGTGGACGTAGGCAGTTTGCCGAACCACGTAAAATTAGTTTGTTTGAGTTTGTGGCCATTGTAATAGTTATTAGGATCCCTCGACGCGCAGTCCTAGAGCTGACGAGAGGAAGAACTAATATCCCACTTTGATGAGATATTAGGCTTCAGATTCTTGTTCCCTTTGAGAAACAAGAATTCTTATCGATCTTTCTCTCTTATTGTGCACCAGAAACTCTGCCGAAATTTCCGCTGCGCACAACACACACGTCTTAGAAAATCAAATTTGGATTAATTCCTAAAACACCTTCCTCGTGGGATTTGACAATCGTTTATATTATAACTTAAAAGTTGTGCACTTGCAACTTTGATATTATTTACTCCCTATCACATCACAATCATATTAAATCATAATTTACTATAAATATTAGATGTAGTGCTTGAGCAAGTCCGATAATATCTGCTTGTATCAAAAATAAATAATAACCACAATTAGATAATTATGCTCGTGCGAGCCCCCACAATTTTGACCTTCAATCTTCATGTGAATCTGTTTTGGTTTGCAATAAAAGTAACATAAATTTAAATTTATTTATTAGGTTTGATCTCCCAATTTTGCCATAAAACTATCATAAACTGGAAAATTAACTGTAATAAGATGTAATTAAATAATGTCCATACTTAAGTAATCTAAATTGAAAACTAACATTACACTTGTGTCAGTAACTTTGGTTTTACTCCTTTAATGTAAACATAACCATAAAACTTAATAACATCTTATGCAAATATTGCATGAGTTTCATACCGTTTTCTTGTTTAATCTTTTTTTTCTACATTCGTCATCATTTAATCATTTATTTTCTATTTTTATGCATATTTGTTGGAATAATATATGATTAATATCACATATATTTTCGAAAAAAAAAATTATTTGAAAAATAAAATAACTTGAGACAAATTCATCAATACCAAAACTAAACTGAAAATAAATCAAATTGATATAATAAAATCATATAGATAAATGAAACATGAATGCTCATTAAAACTGAGCGCATCATCTCATTAAAATCCACACTTGTCATACTCAAAATTTAAAAAAAAAATGTAATTGGTAATTAAAATTAAATCAAAATATTAAAATAATGAACCTAAAAATTTCTTCTTCACGAATTCTCTGGTAACTCGAATTTTCTCCACTCGAATTCTTAATTTTGGATCTTTAATGATTTGTTTTCTATTTTCAAGTTGCAACCCCCATTGTACAAATCTTCCTTAAATCTCTACATTTTACCAAGATTTCTGACCAAGTTAACCATTACAATATATCTTAGCTGGCATGCCCTATTCCACTCCCCAAATTTCCAAAACCAAGCAGAAGATTTTCTCAGCAGATTTTCGTTTTGACAAAAAAAATCTCTAGAAGGTTCCATTTTCTAACACATTATCTGTAGATTTGTTTCAAATCCGCGAGTCAAGCGGCCTAATTATTAGTTCAAAATAATCAATTGACTAAGAGGTTTTTATATTATCCATATTTTGTACTAGTCCCTCAAATATTTATAGTTTGATATTAGTTTCTTCAATTTCATTAGTATGTTGATTTTCGTCCATGTGATTAAATAGAATTAAAAATAAAGATGAATATTTTGTTAAGTTTAACTTCTTAGTAAAGGATAGTGACATTTGCTTGGTTTTGGCTGAGATTAAGTGTTTTTTTTTATATTATGGAAATGAGCTTGACACCTATAGGAGAGAGACGAACGTTGTGATGGTATGCCTTTTTTTTTTAGTTTATCTACTTCTCTATATAGATGGGAGAATCCAAGATTCACTGTTCATACTACAGTAAATATTATTGCAGCATTATTATTGTAAAGCACGGGATACTGTAACATTTTAAAAGAAAAATTACTGTAACAGAGGCGAGAACTATAGCGTTTTTTGAAAATACTATAGAATTAATATTGTAGCACGGGTATACTGTAATAATTTAAAAAACACAGGATATTGTAGCAATTCAAAAAATTCTTACTGCAACATTTAAAAACATGATTACTGTAGCATGAAAAAAAATTATCTATGTGCTTTGCGTGTACATCATGCAAGTTTTAAAATAAAGAGAGGATGAAGAGCAAGGACAATAAATAGATACAGAGGGTATTTTGGTAACTTTTTAGTCATAATCAGTTCTAACTTAATCATGGTTAAGGATTTTAGATGGAAATAGTAATAAAAAATAAATTAAACCGTACTCGCGAGCTTAACTTCAATCATACCATACCAAACCTCGCTTGCTCCCTCTCTCTCTCTCTCTCCCTCTCAATCAATGGAATCAACAACTGTGGAGACCAGCGACGGAGTAAAGCTCCACGTTCTCCTCTTCAATCCCCAAAGCGATGTCGATGATCCCAAGCCCAACACAGTCATCGTCATGGTGCACCCCTTCACTCTCCTGGGTGGGTCCCAGGGGCTCCTCAGGGGAACCGCCATGGGATTAGCAGAGAGAGGCTTCAAAGCTGTCACCTTTGACACCAGAGGGGCAGGCCGATCCTCCGGCAGAGCCTCCCTCACCGGGTTTCAAAGCTGTCACCTTTGACACCAGAGGGGCAGGCCGATCCTCCGGCAGAGCCTCCCTCACCGGGTTCTCGGAGGTCCAGGACGTGATTGCTGTTTGCAAGTGGGTCAAGGAGAATTTGAACCCCGCTGGGGTTGTGCTCGTGGGTTCTTCCGCAGGTAAAAATAAATAAATTTATTTTTGTGGTTTATTTTGACTAAAAGGTGGGGTTTTGGGACGTGGGTACTTGTTAGTTTGCTGAGTTGAGGTCTTTAGTTGCTTATCATATTCAAATATGGGATTTTGGGATGGCTCGATGGTGTGGGTGCGTCTTAGTTTTTCTTTATTTCATCAATTAGTCTCATGGATGATGAGTGTGAACGATGGAACTGTTATCTTAGATATAATTCTTGCAAATTAGTTTCAATAAGATGAGATTTTGGGATAGTTTTGATGATACGCCCGAGATCTTGGCATGTTGGTTTCGAATTGCTACTCCCTATTCATTTATTTTCACAAAGCCCTTTTTTTATTGTTTTGTTTTGTTTTGTTTTTTTGGTGGTGGTG